GTATATATATCATGTAGTGGCAAAGCAGGCTGCACAGAAGAAGTTACCTTCAGAAACTTCAATAATCAGTGATTATTCTACAGATGAAATCAACTATACTCTGATAAAAAAAGTCCTTTTTTTTGTCCCCTAAGCTGACTCTGCCCTTAGCATTTGCCTGTACTGCCTATGCCATGCTGCCCTGACAGGCAACRCACAGATCAGTGCAGAAAGGCGTATACAGGTTTTGGAACAATGTATTCTCTCATTAAGACGGCATCTTTTTKAGGGAAGACTTTGCATAATTCAGCAAGACAATGCTGCACATACTGCACCCATTACAACATTTCACAGTAGAAGGGTGCTGAACTGACCTGCCTGCAGTTCAGACCGGTAACCAGCAGAAACCATCATGAAACAAAAAAATCTAGCAAAGAAGACTGGGGACTGTAACCACTATAATCCTCCATCAGTCATGAATGGAACAACACCCACTTCCCAAAGCTCCAGCAGCTCGTCTCCTCAGACGTCTACAGATCGTTGTTGAAAATAGAGGATTTTTCGTGCCAGTAAACATGTCCCCGGTGTTGGGCAAAAGGGCAAACATCACACACACTAACACTGGAGTGTGAAATCATAGTGACAGGTTATATAAGAAAGGTGACTGACAAACACAAGCACTGAGACCAGATTAAAAAAAAAAGTTCAATCTTGTTACAGCTTCATTTTCATTTTTTATTCAGAGCTATCACACTGTGGCATCTCCAAACTGCAAKTGAAAGCAGACTCTGTTAGGGTGGTGCAGACGGCACGCTGGCAGCGCATCACTTTCCTATACCGCCCCGATGGTATCTGTCCTTTAACCCTAGTAATAACAAACTATATGCTTTCCATACTGAGGGGGCTTTAAACTGAGAGGCCAAAAGGAGACAGAAAACACAGAGGAAGGGTAAGTTATTATTAGCTAAACCAGATACCTATAATTTAAATAAAACACCAGACATTACTGTCAGAAACTCTTTTCTCTTTCCATGTCCTAATTGCATCTCTTTGCTTAAATCTCAAGCTGAACCATTGTCCATTACAAACACTTCACTTCACAAAAGTCCTCCCCTGTATTTATTTATTTATTTATTTATTTATTTATTTATTCCTTTATTTGTTTGCTCTTTAATTTTTATGGTCTCATCTCACCTCCAGCAGCCTGTTCTCTCACAATTTGCCCTTTTTTTATTGTTCATTGTTCTCCTTGACTTTAAAGGTTTTTTTAAGGTACTGTCATGTCATCCCTCCAAAAAAATAAAATAAAATAAAAAAAGAGGGAGAACCAGGTGACAGTGATATACGGTACTCTCTTTCAAGAGTGTCACGACTCAAGCTTATTCCCACTGTCATACGTAAAGCAGCCGGTGCCTTTGGAGAAGCGTGATCCGGTGAAACAGAGCCCACAAAGACGGTAACTATCCTCCAGATTTCTGCCTTTCTCTTATCTGTAACCAGCTCCCTCCTCTGAGAAAACTCTACCTTCTTTTTTTTCCTGTAAACCTCACAAGTTCTTTTTGCAGTCGTCACCAGAGTGGACAGCAGCACTTTTTATAACAACAAAAATCCATAATGAATGAATGCACAGGAAATCTGCTGACAGTGTCAATTATTTTCCCCTCAGGCTTAAAATGTTCATCTCTCAGTGACTCTGTTCGCAGTTTTCTTGCTGGTTTTGTTAAAAGCTTTTGATAGAATTTAAAAAAAAAATCTTAACATCCTAACTAGCCTATTATAAATTGCATTATTTGTTTGTGACTGACATGAACTAAATGCTGTACCTAATACTTTTAAAACTTTGCCAATAAGTGTTGAAGTCAACTGTCTGCAAATTATGTATTGAATCYCTGGATGGACTAAAGATTTTACAGATTAAATATTTTTTTTATTTTAAAAAAGTGTATTTAACTGCAGCAATAAAAAAGTAAGTTCTACAGTTGAGTAAAAAAAC